ATTTTTTATGGTTGTGGATCTGGATTCTTGTGTAGGATACTTTCACAAAGACTAAACTTAACAGTCTTGTAACTACAGTATGCTGATGTGTTATGTTGATATTTATCATTTTTTAAGCACATTCAAACAAGATTGTCCAGCAGAAATAAGACGTGGCATAACCTAACCACCTAACCTAACTTAACCACCTAACCTAACCTAACCACCTAACCTTACCACCCAACCCAACCCTCTGCTAACACCTCTATGTATCTCTGCTATCTCTGCTATTTATTTTCCACATGGGGACCTCCGAAAAAAACAAATTTGCCGAATAATGACAAGCTGGAGATTTTCAATAAAATGACAAACAAAAATTGCATCCTGCAATATTGCTGGGAAAATAGCTCTACAGGATAGGTGTCCGACAGAAAATGCCGGAAAAATATCCCAACAGAGACGAGATACAACAACGAAACTCGCGCAAATAGTTAATGCGTGCCGGAAGAATAGACAAAATGTGATAAGATCCGATGCCGGACGAATATCCACGGCGTTTTTTTTTTATTACTGACTACAGATAAGGAGATTATCAGCGCATTTTAACATCATCTGTCGGCAAGAGACGGCCTTTGTAAGATTCCTATTCTATATAATAATAATGTACTGCAGCTACACGTAATCCTATATAACATAAAAAATAAGAATATGCCGTCTCGACAACTGGAAACATTCCTTACCTGACGATAAGAAGAGAGAAGCTTCGTCACTCTTTGTTGTTACCTGGGTTAGTGATTATAAAGATTAACTGAAACTTTCAATAACAAAATACAACTATCTTTTTCCCATTGTTGGTCATTAAGTAGATGAGTAAATTAATCAAAACATACTAGACAATTACTCACAACTTATAAGCCAACTCAGTGGATTATATACTTATTCTCCCTCGTTAGAAAACGGCTTGTTTGCATTTTGGAAATTGCTATTTCCCGAATTTACTTTACCAACACACACACGTATATGTATGTATGTATGTTTATAGATGAATATATATATATATATATATATATATATATATATATATATATATATATGTATGTATGTATATGTGTGTGTGTGTCTATATATATATAACATATATATACATATACACAGCATATATATACATAATACATATACATATATATCCACACACATACATATATACATACACACACACACACACGCACACACACACACACACGCACACACACACACACACACACACACACACACACATATATATATATATATATATATATATATATATATATATATGATAGATATATACACATATATATATATGATAGATATATACACATATATATATATGATAGATATATACACATATACATGTATATCATATATATACATACATATATGTCATATATGTATATAAATCATATATATTTATATACATATATATATGTATGTATCATGTATGTAATATATGTATATATATCATATATTTATATACATATTATATATATGTATGTATCATGTATATTATATATATATGATATATATATATAATATATATATATATATATATATATATATATATATATACATTTACATATATATGTGTACACACATATATGTATGTATGTGTGTGTGCGCGCCCGTTTGTGTGTGACACTTAATACTTATTTGTACGTCTGTCTATTTTTTTAAGGTGCTGTACACTGTCTGTTTTTGTCTCCTAAGAGACAGACTCGGATTACTCAAAAGGCTGAGGTTGCGTTGCCAGTTTTTCCTTCCCTAAAGAATGGACGCAGTATAGCTGTACCGATTTTAGGGATAGGACGGGTGTAATTCTATAAAAAAAAAAAAAAAAAAAAAAAAAATCAAACAAAATTCATCCACCAACAAACAGACATATTCTGGGTAATCATTTATATCTTAAATTCATATTTTAAAGAATCATGCAATAACATTGCTTTTGAATATAATTCCTCACAAAACATTTGTAATATCTAAAGTACATTGTTAGCCTTACCACCTACTGATAGATGAGACAATAGCGATAAATGCTTGAATTTCCCATACAAAGGGAAGGGGAGGAGGGTGATATCACATGACGTCATAAGCCTTATCGGATCTTTTTTACTTTCATATCTTCGTTATGGGACGTCCTTTTATATTATCTATTTTATATTTTACAATTATCGAATTTTTGAGCTAGGGACCTGTGCTCCTTATTTGATCTTTTGACCCCAATTTTTATGCTAATTGAATAGTCAACCATATGGCTAATCATCCTTGTGAATCTTAATGTCTGGGTACATGCAACTGCTGCATATCCTGATGTAGTGATCCTTATCTTATTAAATGTGTTTTTATTGTTGTTCTCTCTTACAACTCAAACTCTGTTGTTATGGTCTACCATGTGACGAATCTACATGGGGTGAAGGGGTTAATGGATGCAACTGCACTGGGGTAAAGGGCTTTTTTGTAGCATCCCGAAACCCCTAACACGTTGATGCAATGATTTGAGTAAAGAAGTTATTATTTTTTAGATAAAAAAGTCAATATAATACCATTAAAGAACTTAATATGATGTTATTTATTTATTCAGTTAATGAAATATTTCTGCCACGCCAACATCTAAGGTCATTAGCGGCGTGTTCAAAATATAGAGATAGCTAGAAGCTTAGGGGCAAAACCCCCAGTGCTATATAATATCAAAGGTTATATGGCGCTATGGTAGAGTAGTGAAAAGGGTTAGGAACGAGCTAATGATTAGGTAAAGTTACAGGTAGTGAAAAGAGTAGAGGGGGGAGCTGATGGGGTATAGCATAAGGTAATGATGATTAGAAAGGGAAATAGTTAAGTGAGTAGAGAGCATTATAGGCGTTTTCTGTACGTGTCATAAAAGTTAATTCCGGATTAAAATTAATCCCTTTCCACACTACTTGCACAGAATATGCAAGACACATTAGCAGACGCAACTAAATCTGCAGTTTTAGATAAAAAAAAGTGGGGATCTGTGTAATGGCAAGTGTCATTCACTGTTTACAATATCATGCGCTAATGTGGATAGCGAAACGTTTGATACAGAAGGGAAAAATATAAATATATAGATACATACATACATATATATATATATATATATATATATATATATATATATATATATATATATATATATATATAAATATGTATATATATTTATATGTAAAATATATATATATATATATATATATATATATATATATATATATGTAAAATATATATATATATATATATATATATATATATATATATATATATATGTAATAATATATATATATATATATATATATATATATATATATATATATATATATATGTAATAATATATATATATATATATATATATATATATATATATATATATATATATATATGCATGCGTGTGTGTGTCAATACAAATAAAATATATAAATGGCTTCAAATTGCCTATAGATAGCATAGACAACCGAAATGAAGGTGTCAACGAAAAAGAAACTCATAATATCAATTTATATTCGCGGGAGTTTTCTCCGAGAGCTCTTTCTCGTGTGTGGTCGCGGGGTACGGGAAGGGTAGTTTTTTTCAGGATGTTGCAAGCAAGGATCATGATAAAAATGTCCCTGCGGTTTTTAAGTAATTTTAGTTTAAATAATCAGGAAGTTTTTGCGTTGAACTTGAAACCTAATCATGATCTTGCGCATGTGCACCATTAATCTTTGAGCACAAAAGTAAAGCTTAGTCCGTAGGTGAATTGCATTTAATCCTGGACGCTGCCATTACGTATATGCTCAAGAGATCTGGCTTAAACTTTAAAACTGGATTAACTTCTGTGGCGCATACAGAAGACGCCCTGTGATGAAGTTGTGGCGAAAACGGCAAAGAGGAATTTAACGATTAGGATACGTGGACAGATCAAAGGGATGAAGAAATGGAAAAGGAAAGGAGGAGAATAAAATTTAGTTATAGCGAGGCTGAGGTCCAAGGTGATCCCCTATACTGGGCCTCAGTCCCCGTCTCCTAAGCCCCCCCCCCAACGACAACAACGAACAAGGGAAGAACAAGGAAAAAGTACCTTACTCTGCAGCTAAAACTGTTTATACATACCACTCTACGTTTCGCAAGGCTGTGTGAAGTTTAAATGTATTTCTCAGATTGTCTATTTTTATTACATATATTATTCCTAATAGGAAAAAGTGGAAGATACACAAGGTTTTGCATCTTATCGTATCCACCGCAAGTGAGCTCCATCAAATCAGGATATAAAGTATTTTATTTGATATCTTTTCCACTTGTAAGGTTATATCATTGATATACATTGACTTCCCACCGAAGTCAATGCCATGTCAATATGACTGACACTTTGGATACTCTTACCATGTTCCAGCGACGCCAGGATTGACTTCAAATCTTATCCACAGAGTGAGCATGTATTTGATATGATGATAAAAAGGCTCAAACAGTTTATATCTTTGTATTAAAAGGTTTTAGCAAGAAACGATGCGATTCGTAATTGATGGAAATATATATCCTTGAGTCCGTGAAATATATCTGAAAAATATCGCGGTCCGACTGGTTGGCCAGAGTTTATCACACTATCATGTTAAAGGCATACACTTTGGTACAGATTGAAATTATGTTTCAACAGGTTCCAATAATGTACGCGTAAAAGTCGAATATGTATCAGTGTTTGAAGTTTCGGGAATTACAAAAATCGTCTTAAATTTGTATCCTGTGATATAGTTCCTTGACCCAATGTACAAATATTTTAATTGCTCTCCTCGCTCACAATGACATCTGATAAGTACTTGAATGTTCAGTTTGCCCAGAAACTTTTAGGGTAATTAGGGATAGTTTTCAAAGGAGATCTTTTAATAATCGATTTTAAGCTTGGAAACTGGCTTGTGCACCAAGACTTCCCGTGCATCTAAACAATTGTTACAATTTTCATGAAGTTCAGAAAATATGATGGATCCAGGTTAATCAAATAC